CATTTAGATCTTTATCAGAATAGTCTTTAATGGGCTAATGTTTACATTCATTCACTTTCAAAGTCCGCAATATCTTTCAGATCCCCGGATTAGGTGTTTTAGCGGGCTTTTCCAATGCTGCCGATCAGTTGCCAAACAGTGGTTTAGATTTGAAAGGGCGACAGTACCATTTCTTTTGTATAATCCAGCTATATGGTTGGCAATCTGCCATTGGATTGTCTTCCCTATCTTTACGATGAGAGTGCGTCTAGCTTCTTTTTCCTGTGGCATCGTCGTCACTCTAAGCCATCGCAGTAGTGATATGTCGTCCTGGAGAAGGAGCCTTGAAACTCGGAAATATTCTGGAATCTGTCGGGTCTCGTCTAACCAGCAATCTGTCGAAAAATCTCATTTCTGCCGTTTGCATCTTGCGTAGCAGCTTTTCGGTTAATATGCAAACAGCCAGTACTCATATGCGTAAGTAACGGTGTGTAGATCTATGAACAGATTGAAGTAAGGCAGCTTTACAGTATTGCTCAGCAATTTCTTCATTACTGCAGACCGGTTTGGCTTCAGCACTACAGCGCTGACCTAGTTTCCTGAAATTTTTGCTTTAGTTCTGCTGTTTGTTTTCACAAATTTTCTGGCGCCTTGGATCATACTCAGTTTAGAGGAATGTGGCACAAACTCAACATAGGAATGTCGGTCTTCCTAACACTTTCATGATTTGCCATTTCCAGAGTCTTTCTTCCATTGAGTAAATAGTGGGACGATGACTTCAATTTCGATTCCATCAGCTCAGAGTACTTTATTTTAAAGGCAACAGCAGCCATGCGATAAGCATAGTGTATAGTCGCTTGTTTCTTTCTCACAGAGTGGTACTCATTTATCAAGCTTCGAAGGAAGAAAGGCGAGTTACCCGACCGGAAATCGAATAAAAAATGCAGTGTTGCAAATTTGTCTGATTAAACTCCTACTTTATCAAAGAATCAACATAAATATTCTTTAACCCTTTAAAATAAACAGTTTTAACTGCAAAGAAATTATAATGAACATAAAGTACCGGTAAAGATGACGGTATACAACGCGCCGCTTTCCGTTGGCCATTTAATGTGCACCGGTTCGTTCTTAACCTGCGACGGTTTCAGAGTGTTTCCCAAGTCAACAACGAGGTCGCCGGCGTATTTCACCTAAAAACGGTTACCATTAGAATGACATTAAGATGAGGGATTAAACTTCATACTTCCAACAGATTTGCTGGTGAAGTCGATACTACATCAGGGACCACGCCGTTTTCGGTGAACTTTTCAGACGTCGTCATCGCACCAGTCGCCCAAGACCTCAAGAAGTGAAGCTGAAGTGTCAACAGACACACAACGTACAGCGAAGAAGCCATGACACTAAGAAGCAAATGATGGAAACACAGCGATGGATCGCGGCCTCTAGTTCGTTCGCGCTATTTATACGTAATGAAAAAAAGAAGCTACGAAGACAACAACCAACGAAAACGTTTTAATTCACCGTCAAGTGCTCAACAATGGATTTGGCATGAGCAACGGATTTGAGAACCAGACATGTATTATTAGGTCAAAAAAGAAGGCTAAAAAAGCTACTGGCTTTAGTCGCTGATAACTCTTTGCAAGTTTTTCAGTTACATAGCCAATGGGCAAAATCATGTGTCTAGATCAACTGCTAATATCTCCCGAACATGGGGATATGGCGATCAGGTGCGGACAGCTGATGGCTGAAACCGGATTTCTTGACCGCTCATCGAAATCCTAGTCATCAGCAGTTTCCACCGATGGCATTGTTTCGGGGCGTCATCTCAGATAAGCTAATTTCCAATAATGTTCTAATAAATTAAATGTCTTAAATACGTTTGAGGATATTTACTATCTAGGATGAGTTTATAAAGCACCCTGTAACAGAGGGAAGTACTGCACTAAACAAACATGGAAGTGCTACACAAATAAAGACAAATCTGTTGGAGAAGAGTGTTAACCATAAAGTTGAAACGATGCAGACAAGAAGAAAACAAAACCTACAGCATGCACTAAGGCAAGTTCAAAGGAAGCAAATTTCATGCATAATGCAATGCCTAAAGTCAGCAAAAGAATCCGCCTGTGAACAGGTGCATTGTGAAAACATTAATGATTATATCCGGCTGCAACTCAACCGTTATATCAGATATAATTCTGACGATTGGGTAGGCATGATAGAGCATGTCGCTAGCTTGGTATCGACCACAAACTCCCATTACAATTCGATATTCCGCAGCTGATACAGACGAGATAAACAACAACCGAAAGCGACCAATTTCAACGTGAAGACGGTCTTTAAGACATGAACCGAAACGGTGGTTGTGGTTTATCACCCAACCGAAGATCATATGTGCTGTTTATCAACACCAACAGATCCGAAATGAGTTAGGTGAGTAAGGTTCAAAGATCAAGCATATATGAGATAAACAACAAAAAAAGCACTGTCCATAACGTCAGCATATATTAAGCATCATCACAATGTCAGCTGCTATTTATGGCATGGAAATTTTGCGACTAAGAAAGACCAATGAAACGGTTACAGTTAAACCGTGACACCAAAAAGTCAACCGGTTTCTTGAAGTCGGACCAACTATGGGCATTTCGGGTGCTTCGGCATGTCATGCCGTTTTAAACAACACGAAAGGTGCCTGCTGCACTATTCAAGAATACACCCTAGAAGGAAGTGACCTTAGGCATCATGCTTTAAACTCAGTTCAAAATGCGCCCGCATCCCTATTTGTGCACAAGGCACAAATTTCAACACTGAAAATCGCAAAAAAACTATCTGCTTATTTCCATGAAAGCTGCCTATGCAAACCGACAGCAGACGCGTAATGCCACTTTTGTCAGGTGCGGGGTCAACGCAATTAGGCTGCAACATTCGAACGAAACCAGTTTAAGTGCAAGTAATTCGCCGACACTAATACAAGCAGACACAAAAAATACGAGTCTTCAAAAAAAACCGGAAAATGTCCATTAAGATTAAGAAGTGAATTTCCACACTTTGGAGGATTCGAAAAAGAAAACAATATACCTAACACCGTTCCTCACCAGATAAACAACGTTCCGACTGGCTGCCCGGTAAGTGCCGTTTAAGCGGATCTGCACATGAATTACCTGGAGGTAAAAGCACTTACTGAATGCCCGCCAGAATTTCAACCGCTGTTCAATGTCTGATTCCTTTACGACATTTTCCATTATTCCAACGAAGTAAGGACGAGCAGAAAAGGTTGGAAAGCTTCACGAATTACAAGAATGGAAGAGCTGCCAACGGCCGAATACGTTTTTCCTCTAAAGCGGAGGCGAATCACTATATATCTTCTGGACGTGCTGGTGAAGAGGACACCGTCGTTTGAACTTCAGGCATCCGTCAATCGAAAAAAAACCTACTAAATCGACACCTCAATCCGCGTTAGAAAGAGAATCCTTGACAATGAATTTTTGCACACCAGCTCGAATTTAACGATGCCCCGTGTATATGGACAAACGGCCATTTTACAGTTCATATCCTTAAGTACCTTAATATATAACAGGTATACTAATCTCCAGTAGTTTACTACAAGACTGACAGAACTTTCGGTAATACAATAAAATGCCAACTAATGCTGTAAACGCTGTATACAAAGTCTAGTGTGGAGACTGCGATAAGGTGTACATCAGAAAGATCTAACGGAAGTTGAACATCCGAACTTTCAAAGTTTACCAAACCTCAATCTGTTTTTACACTGGAAACAGGAATCAAAACTGATGCTAATCATTAAAATGTTGGAAAAGAACATGACGAGCTGTTCACAGCTTTTGAAGTACATTCAATACTTGGATATGGCATCTCCAACTGCACTAACTGAATAATCATCCGCCGAAACACTTCGTACAACGTTGCCAACAAAAAATCTTTTCACTATGACTCAACATAACATATTTTTTGCCAGCCTACATTACGGTATAGTCATTTATGTTAATTCATACATGCATAGGAAGATTATGCCTCCGCCACAAATACTGATATCGCGTATCTGGTCTCCATTAGTAAACTACATCATTCAGAGTGCTTTCGATGACAGCACCGGTAGGCATTATCTATATAGCCGTGACAAGCGATGTCAGCACGAGGACAGATGACCCCCATCTCTGGCTTGATCAGAAACACGGAAAAACGATGCACCGAGGCGTTGATGACAAATGCTCGCACAAGAAAAATTAACTGGTTCGCCACAATCCAATGGTCAGCACAGTGAGTAACACGTTTTCTTGCACTACCCCTGCTCACACTGAATGAGATCATACATAGCAGCAATGCAGGATCTTACAGACCACACGTATGCTAAACCACGTCTCAGCTACGGTAACCCAGATCTCAAGACAGCCGTATGGCAAAAGCGATTTTCATACTAGAATAAGTACTACCGGTGCTAATATTAGGAACGACAGTAGAAGTACCGTCAAAAGTACT